CCATAACTTCCAGTTGAATCATTGCATATCTTTAGAATAATTTCCAATATTATTTTAGAGACTTCAGGTATTTAAATTCACCACATGTAAGCTTTGATCCAGTAAATTATTTCAGAAGAATGGTAGTGAAATATAGGAGTCTTTCAACTCCACTGACCTGAACATGACAATGAGAAATAAGGGGTAAAAGACATTGTCTTCTGTTTACTTATATGGAATGGGATATTTCACAGTACAGTCAAGAACGTGATTATAGCTTCTGTAGACATACATGACAGGTAACTAACTAGCTAAGACACTGACACAATTATAATCACTGTAGAACAGAGTTAAGAAACTAGGTATCTATTAAAACAGTCAGCCTCTGAGGAGCTTTGTGCTGTCCCAGGTAGTAAAATGATAAGGAGCAAATATCCTGATCTCAGCAATCAATCACAACAAAGTTGACACAGACTGAATGGGAATAAAATTACATTCCTTTTGAGCTCAATTATTCTTTTCTAGCAATTAATGGTGTAGTGGGTAGACAGATACTCTTTATCAAAGATTTTAGTAACATCATTCTAACACCTTTAATAAGTACTCAATTCAAAATGAAATACTACAGCAATGTACAGTAAGTAGGATAAATACACAGCAGAAGAATCAAAGTTTCTCTGAAAGCCATGTTAAAAAGTCAGTAAAAAAGTAAGCACTATCAACATTATACCCCACTGTCCTAATGGCTCTAGCTGGAAATTCTATCTAATATTTAACCATTATTTGAGATCTTGCATGGAAATCCCAAGACTTTGTTCATGATCTCAAATGATGAGTGAGATGTCAGAAAAACTCCATATTCCAGAAAGGAAAAACTACAAATTTCCTTCAAAACAGAAAAGAGAAGTGCATTGCCTGCATTAGAACTCAGTTGCAGGCCACATGTTTCCTTGCATGTTTCTATTCCGCTTCAGAAAAATGGTATGTGCAGCACCACCCAGGAGCCTATACGGTCCTTAATCACGAGAGATGGATGTAGGGAAGTATTTTCAGGCAGGTCAGCAAAGTTATCAGCTACAGTATTTCCACCAGAGGAAGTGGAAAATGTCATACTACCATCCTGAGACACTTCCCACATATTCTAATTTTGCAAATTAAGCGTCTTGTTAGTTGATCAACTAATAAATAAAATTTATATTAAACAGCTCTGTGACAGGATGCAATGTTGTAAGTACTTAATCACAACACTACTGGGTTCCTTGAAGCAGATTATCACCAATTCATTCTTCTCACAGATGACTAAATTGGTGTTAAATAGACAGAAAGTTAGGTTGAAGCTTCATAGACAGAGGTCTCTGCTAAAAAAGCCTCAGATAGATATGGTCTCCAATGTATTGCAGAGGTAGAGTAAAAACTCTAGTTATTATATATAAATTATATATAATAGAGTATATATATTATATATTATATATAAATTAAATAGAGTATATAAATACTCTAGTAAGTAATTTTGTTGAATTCAGAGTAATTGATCTGTTGTAGAAGGTTTGAATTCCCTGAACCTTCCTGCAGCAGGGCAGAACATAGATGTCACCACTAGAAAGCAGTCAGTCACACACTGATGAACAAACAAAAAATTCAAATGCTAGAATTCATTCTCACAATCATCTTTTTTTTTCTGTAGTCATATCAATTTCTAATAGTAGTATTACAAATCCCCTGAAAGTTTATTTCTGTGGATTATTCACAAATTAACTGTTTCAAATCCTTAAACCTCCGTATTAGAAAACAAAAAAAAAAAAAGTAGTTAATTTTTTTTTTTTTTTTGAATAACAGTATAAGTGAAAGCAAAACTGAGGGGAAAGACTAAAGAGAAATGGCCATCCCCATGAAATTATAAATACAACTTCAGGCTGTAGAATAATCCAAGACTATTTTGGCACAGAAAACCAGCCCCAAGAGACAATAGTTTTGAGATTGAATATTTAGCTGCTGCTATAAAACACTGTAAAGATACAGTTAACATTCGACTGTAATAAGGTTCTGCTTTAGAACAGTGAATGAATGAACCACTTACTTCCTTAAAACTGAGAAATTAAACAACTCCCCAAGAGCGGCCACTTGGCCACTTTTTCGGGTTTTTTTTTGTTGTTGTTGTTGTTGTTGTTGTAACACCACTGAATAGAACTGATACAATACCTACCTACTGAAGGTAATTCACTGCTGGAAAGCCTATCTGATTTGTTGTGTCACACAATTTTATAAAGGCTATTCAGATGGAAGGCAATAAATGGGTGTTCAAGTGATTTACACACTTTTGGATAATAATTTTTTACACTCTGTTTTATTTTTAAAAATATATATATGCTGTATACTATTATGCTTATTCCCTGTGGTATAATAAAACCATAAATCTATCTGATGAAAAATGGATCGTATTCCAATTGCATCACTGTAGCACATAGAGCTGCTCTTATCATACCACTTACAAAGATCAATGGTAACTTGAAAATGATTTCATTCCATACTACCTCTAATATATTAGCAATAAAAATACTCTTTTTAATTTAAAAGTCACATCAGTTGCTGTCCATCTTCTTTAAACTCCTCTCCATTCCTGCAACTGAAATATTACAGAAGCAAAATATGACCTATTTTCTGGTAGTACCCTATAGGGCTACTTTCTGATTTTTCTTGTGAAATTCTGTTTAAAAACTGCCTTAAGAGGCAGATTAGCAAAATCACAAAGTCCTTCCTGACATGTGTGTCTCATTCCAAAAAAGCTCAAAAGTTTTATCAACCAGCAGCATAAATCTCAAACATACTAAAAACAAACAAAAAAATAGTAAGCCACGGATTCCAAAGAACTTTATAATTATCGTCTATAAACTTTCAGACTGGCTCTGCCTAACAGTGACAAAAATCAGTCTTGGCTGCTAACTGAAAAGGTGGCAAAATATAATTTATATGTCTGCAAAAAGTGCTGATGCATTTTTTTCCCCCTAGATCTGTAACACTATAGCCACTGAAAATCAAATACTAATAAATCTATGATGACATCAGCTAAAATCTTCAAAGCACACATCAACATTTCACTGATGTCATAGAATCACAGAATCACAGAATGCTTAAGGTTGGAAGGGACCTCAGAGGTCATCGAGTCCAACCCCCCTGCTCACGCAGGGTCACCTAGAGCACGTGGCACAGGGCTGCGTCCAAGCGAGTTTTAAAGATCTCCAGAGAAGGAGACTCCACAACCTCTCTGGGCAGCCTGTGCCAGGGCTCTGTCACCCTCACAGTGAAGAAACGCTTCCTTAAGTTCCTGTGGAACTTCTGGCACCTCAGCTTGCGGCTGCTTCCTCTAGTCCTGTTGCTGCCACCACTGAAAAGAGGCCGCCCCCTCCTCCTCACTGCCTCCCTTGAGGTATTTATACACACTGATCAGGTCCCCCCTCAGCCTCCTCTTCTCCAGGCTGRACAGRCCCAGCTCYCTCAGYCTTTGCTCAYAKGGCAGATGTTCCAGGCCCCTGATCATCCTGGTAGCCCTGCGCTGGACTCTCTCCAGCAGCTCCACATCCCTCTTGTACTGGGGAGCCCAGAACTGGACACAGTCTCCAGATGTGGCCTCACCAGGGCTGAGTAGAGGGGGACGATCACCTCTCTCGACCTGCTGGAGACGCTCTTCTTAATGCACCCCAGGATCCTGTTGGCCTTCTTGGTCACCAGGGCACACTGCTGCCTCATGGTCATCTTGTCATCCACCACGACCCTGAGGTCCCTCTCTGCGGGGCTGCTCTCCAGCAGGTCAACCCCTAATCTGTACTGGTGTCCAACAGTTTGGAAAGTGCACTATGTACTGGTTTAAAATAGCATGCTCCAAAGAAATTGGCTATTAGTGCTACCCAAATGGAGCTATTATTAATACTGTCACCACTAAGCACTTGTGGCCACTAATTTTTTTTAAAAGGAAAATTGTTCAAAAAGTGTGATACGAATACAAGTAAAAAGGCTGAAAAATTTCTCAGCTTGGCACAACCAATATAGCAGCAATTCAGCAATCACTTAAAAAATTTTTCAGTGAAGTTTCTACTTATTCTTCAGAAAGTTGTTTGGGAGCAATGGACAAAGACCTCCACAAGCGCAAGCTTCATTAGAAATGCACAGCATTAAAGAAGATGTTATCAAAAGCATTCTTTGAATTCATACACTTGTATGGCATGCACCGCTATCTAAAGGCATTTTTTTTTCAATATTCTACATAAAAAAAAAAAAAATGCTACTTGTTATATCTCTGACTAAGCACTGACTTTTCTCAAAAGTGATTATTCTGTTTGTTTAAGTGCACTTTCTCTGATGAAAGTGCTTCACAGGTACTGAAGAGTTCAGTCACAAACACTCCCACCACTTTTCAAAGCAGAAAGAATGCACAGGAGGTTGGATGACTTTTTCATAACAATATAAAAAAATCAGAATCAAAAAAGAACCTATTCAGTACTCTAGTGTTTCTATAGCATTGATTTTTTATGAACCCACATGTAACAAAGTAGACAATGAAAGATATCAAAAAAACAAATTCGACTTAGAAAATCTACTTTTATACAAATATTTTAATTGAAAAGCAAAATAATGGATTATTTAACAAAGAACACATTTATTAACTTATTTGCCTTTTTCTGCTTTCATTAGAAATGTTGAAAGAACATTATGGGTTCAAAAGGTGCTTTCCTGTAAACTCATCACCTCTTTTAGAGAATAAGACTTTTAACTTACAGCTGTACAAAATACGGTTTTCATGAGAATACAGAATTTCCTCTTTCAAAAATACCATACAGAGAAAGACTATATCATGGAAATTATATAGCAGTAAAAATGTGTTAAATGCTCAAATGGTTACAGTGAAGTTACTACTGAAATAATTATTAGAATTTTAACCTCTTTAACCTAACAAAGGGAACAAGGAAACAACTGTGTTTCATTCTAAACATATGACTTTCACTAATATTGTGGAAAATGTCGTTTACCTAGCAGAATTCTTCTTTATTTTTTCATCAATATCATTAAGGACTTGTTGAAACTCCAGTTCTCCAGGAAGAGCATTTAACAAGCAGTCTAAATTGGAAGAATCAAGAGAATACTCTCCTCCCCACTCCATTTTCAGGATCTGTAAAATACATATGGAAAAATGGTTACATAATGAAACAACACAGACTATAAGCACCAAAATATACATGTTGCTCCTTCACAATATCTAGATTAATAAGGAAGGAATTAATTATACAATCATTGTTGAATAATGCAACCCTTCCTTCTGAGCAGAGTTCTGTTGAAGGATATCTGTAAAACACAGCCAGATATTTCATGGTATCTTGCATTTTTAGCTTAAGAAATGACTTATCTTCCTCATAGTACTAGTTTCTTCATTACATTTTGAAAAATCTAAAACCAACAACATCTTCGCAGGTAAATTCTTTTTCTATGGGCGTCTAATTTTTCTCCATGGAGTAACTGTGTTTTGAAATTCACACATATCATTGCAAATAACCTGAACCTAAAAAAAATCCAGACTGAAACCCTGTATGGTACTCTAAAAGAAAAGAGAAAACCATGAAAATATTTACCTTTTGGAGATTTACTCAATAAATATTTTGTCAGAATATAGGTGAAATTCATTATCCTACTCCAATTAAGAAGCTACACCCCCAAAAAACTATTAGCAGTAATTTAATTATACTTTCATTTCACTGATGACAAAAAATGAAATTTATTTTGCATAGTGATTATTTGATACTGAAGTGAAAGAAAAATTATATAAATATGGAAATTTCTCAATATCTGTACATTTAACATCCAAAAATCAGCATTTTCAATCCTATTTATATTGCAGAAACACTCGGAGACACAAATGTAACAATCTGGATGCATGTGATGTTTGGAAAAGAAAATATACCTCATTTACAGTTCTGAATTAAGAAATACACTAATTTATTTACAGGCAATATTAATTTATGAAATAAATACAATTTTGGTCAGCTGTGATTACCATGACTACCTTTTCTTTTTTAAGATAACGAGATAGAAATGACAAAACAGAAAAGCAAATTTCCATACAAGCAAATCTTGAATTATCATAGAACTAATTTAATTTAACTAACTAATTTAATTTGTGGGCCAAATCTAAGTTATGAACAAGATACCACTTGTATGACAATGGTCATATCAATAATTGTAAAAAAAAAAAAAAATACAATTTTTAACTCCAGTTGGCAGGCACTATTATAAATCATTAGAAACCCTCAAACTGAGCAGTCAAAACGCATTCTCTAAAAGAACATCAGATTAAGATGCAAAGTCAAGATAACAGCATTGCTCAAACATGAGCAACATGAGCAGCAGAGCTGCAGATTTCTTTAGAGGAAGCATCTCTACTGATGCTGCTCTTTCCAAACAAAGTCTTAGAGAGCCTGTAAAGCCTGGGCTAACAGCAGGATACTAAGAAATGTTCTGCAGATATATCATTCTCTTAAATGCTCAGAAACTACAGAATATCCATTTCCAAATAATAATTCGAAGACTTTCCAACAGTTTGAAATGTCGTTGAAACTCAGGCACCCTTCTGGTTAAAAAGTCTGGATGCAAACCAAATACATCACGTAACACATGGAGGCAAGATCAGTCTTTGAACATAAGACTCAAACTATCTTAACAGATGTTACCGCAATTAAAGACACTGTAATTAAAAGCAGAAGTAAAAAGTATTCTCCCACATGCTGAAATAGTTCATCCAGGCACTCTGGCAAAAAGACCATACACCAACTTAGGGAGATTCTATAACCCTTGGAAAAAGATTTATACAGCACTTCAAGGAATTTTGAGATAAAAGGGATTTTGAAATACAGTTTACTAATACATGATACCATTTTTATTCAGGCATGGTCATACAAATCACATCCTTAAGAAATACCTCAGATACCCCAATGCAATGCCTGTAGTCAAACCCATCTTATATTTATCTTTAACAGTCAGCAACTCTGCAATCAAAATCTATTACATATACATGCATCACTATGTTTTTTCCTTACAGGACAGCCAAAAAGCTCTTGTGATCCACACAAAAGCACCAATACTGCTTACAGGCCACTTAGTGCTTAACAAATTCTGTATATGAAAAAAATTACCTTGTAAACATGACAGCTTACTTTTTATGTATGCATTCCTATAAGACTTCTATGTCATACCTGTTCAGTTCACTTGTCAAAACAAGGTAATTATTTTTTTCAGTCTGATTTTATGGAGGAAAAAGTAACACTTGATTATCCAATTGTAAGGTATTATTTTAAATGGTCAATAGTTTGTGCTTCATACACAGAAATCTAATTATTTCTCTATTACTGAACTATCATATGAAGAAGCAAAAGTCAAAGCTTTCAGAAGCACAGTTAGTAGATGAAAATCTAAATGCATTGAAGTGGAGCAGAAATCCTACTGGTATTTATGTAATCCACATCAGGGCCCGGAGTACTTTAAAAGCCTTTAATGTCCCCAGGGCCCACCACCTCTGCCCATAGTGGTGCAGGACCTCCATTGAGGTCACCCCCATGCCGCGAGCTCCAGCCCGCACTAGGCGAGAGGAGCAAAGCTGCAGCTCCAGCGCAAGCAGGGCTGCACCTGACCCTAATCACCTACTCCTTAAGTTCCTTTCAAAATACACCAGAGGACCATTCTTCACCAAGAAAATGATGCCGCTGGCAGTCTTTTGGGTTGCTACATGACAGCTTAAGCTATACATCATGTAGCCTAAAAAGAAATAATCTCCAGGTCTGTATTTTAACCTGCAGTATTAATATAAGTTTTATTTTAACAAGTTTCTATGGACAATACATCTAACTGCAAGAACCAATTTTTGTCAAAAATAAGTCAATTTGAAGAAACATTACCGAATATTCAAGTTCATATAAATCATATTCTTTTTGCTTTTTTATCTCATATAGCACTCATCATCTAAGAGCACTTTTTCTTTTCTAACTGTTTTCTTTTTCCATGTCAATCAAAATGCAACAATGTAAAAAACTCCTCTATAAAATGATAATTTAATGTTTTCCTAAGTATAATTGCTGTGGAATCCCTCCATTAACAACATACATGGAAATTCCAAGGGATTTCTAAGAGGATTAGGTATTACAAATACATAAATAGCTAGTATTTACTGCAATAAACATTCATTTTCAGACATATGGTATGTAAATGCTGAGTTGTCCTAAAGCTTGAGTAGCTTTTTGTATGAACACTTATATATATATACACATACACTTATTATACACATGTACACATGTATAAATAACTGCAAAAATGCAGCTATATAGACACACTTTTTCACAAAGACTTTTCTTTGTAAATATAAATTATGAGTAGAGCAGTATTTCATTACACCAGGTAAAACATTACTAGACCATGTTTGCAGCATACAAATCCATTTCAGCCTTTTTAGTAACTTTGTAAATGGTGTCAGATTTATTCATCAAAGAACACATAGTACTGCTATACATGTATTTCCCTATGGCACTTAACTGACTTAAGAACCTTGTTCTGATGTCAATGGGCTTCAGGTACCACAGAACAGCATCAATCAGAGAGAAGGTAAGGCAAATTTTGTATTATAGTTACACAAAACAAATCTGGAAAAAAAAAGCATCTAAGCATAGTTTTAAAATATATATACATATTATATTTCTAATCTATCAAGGTCAGAACATGAGGTGATATATAACATATGCAGACAAGCAAGTTGAAAATCAACAATTAACAACCTTAAATAAATGAATTCCAAATAATTTAAACAGAAATGGTTTAACTTAGATAATAGGGAATGAAATACCAAGTTTGTGTTGGATAGTTGAAGAGTATATGTTCAAAATATTTTATATTAAAGGACATCTTCAGTTCTTTCTGAACTTCCTGACCTGCTAAGGAAAGTGTTCTTTTTTGGTTGTATTGTAATTTCTGTTATTCACCACAACCAGCATAATACTGTATAGAAAAACCACTTTGGCTGACTAAAAAAAAAAAAAAAAAAAGTAGACTGATGTTGCTTTGTTCGCATCATCAATTTTTAAACCTGGAATTCTATAAGCTATATCACAGAAGTTTGCCACTCTACAATTAAAGTCTTTAAAAAGTCATTCATCATTTCAACAAGAACACTCAACTTTCCATTTTATTGATTTATTTCAGTTAATACCAATCCACTGTTTTGGCCCTTTTTAATAAAACAAACATATTTCTAAATAGTTAGCAAATAAGCTAGTCAATAATACCTTTAATGTATTCCAAAATAACCAAAATAACTCTAATTTGAATTTAAACCATAACAGGCACATGTAAAGAGTTAAAAAATAAGTATTACCTAATACATTTCTTCATTTAGCAAGTTGCAAATACTGCATTATTTCCTATTTTAGCACAGAATGTGCTGTATAAGAACAGTAAAAATAGCATGGCAATCAAATTTTGTGGACTGCTATTTTCAAGACAATCTAATTATTTGAAAACTTATTTTAACATTATATGACTTTCTCCTAGAGATCTCATTCCACCTCCACTCAAGACAATAAAAGAAAATTATTATCTTTTTTTTTAAATGAAGGTGTCAATGGCCCTCTGATTTGAGAACAGGTATGTCTCAAACTGCAGAGATTTATGTAGAGAGATTTAGCCAAATTATTGACTCTTTTTTTTATGATATTGCCTCTTTATCTTACAGGAGACCTATTTTTACCATACGAGCATCCTTGTAAAACTGAAGAGGAAAAGAGAACTAACTACAAGATTTTTCATCACTCAGCTTATACTTCCAGACTACCTTCTTTACATTAGTTTCCTTCATGTTTAGTTGCACAACTGTCCTGAGCCACTTTAAAGCCCAGAAGATGTCACCTGCAATCACACACCAGGCAGCAACTTCATGGCGGTGGCTTTAAAAAATACAATTCAGTGTGAAATCCCTGCTGTTCTGGACACTTTCTTTGAATATTTAAAGTTTTGTTGGAAAGCAGTTTTCCCTAGCTCAGAAAGCAATTTTAAAAATCATAATTTCTAGAGCTGTACTCAGACATAGTAAGAGATTTTTACTCATTTTTAAAATTCCTTTCAAAATTTTATCACCTT